TTCCAAGCGAGCGGCCCTCATCCAGATCCGACAACAGGCTTTCACGAGAAACCAACCAGGTCGCCACCGCAATAACGTGCTCCTAATGTCAACATGGACACGTTTCCAGTACTTCAGGCTCGTCGTATGGTCCCAAACCTAGCAGATCAAGTGGGTCTCAGCCACCGTTCAGTTCAGCACCGCCTCACTGCCACTGCGGCCCAGCCGAGCCATGGATCTACTGCCCGGGATTATCGTACGCCCGTGCTGTGTCAGGTGAGTCAGAAGACAATTCTCCACTCACAAGTGGTGAACTAGTGATCCTCGTGGCTGAGATGATCATAATCTTGCGAACCACCAAGACACCACCTGAACAGCCTTTGTGCAGTTATGTCCCTCGTGCAAAAGTATGGACCGTCAAGCCATCAAAATAGTCAACTGGAACGCTTGCTCGCTCAAGAGAAAAATCATTGAGTTCGTTGATCTCCTCAATGGACATACCATACCAATGGACATACCGAGTTTCCAGCTGAAGATAATCGAAGCGGTGGGTGTGGAAGCCTCCACTTCTGTCGGCCCTATTACCATCATTGCGGCCTACTGTCCCAAACAAGTCACCATCAGGGACGGGTCGGCAGCAGACCTGCGGAGAGATATCATCAGACTAACTCGACGGCGTGTGAAGTACATCATCGCTGGCGACCTGAACTCCAAACACAAGGCTTGGGGCAACAGTCGACGCAACCAAAATGGCACAATCCTGAACGACGACCTGCAAGAGGCTCACTGCACCATAAAAGCGCCGGACTCTTCCACCCAGTTGAGCCATTCTGGCGTTCACTCCACCATCGACTTCTTCGTCAGCAACATGGGAGACATCATCTCGCAACCTGTGACCCACCAGGAGCTGAGTTCGGACCACTATCCGGTGTTGGCCGATGTGAACTCATCCGTCAACCGATTCCAAGCTTCCCGACGCAACTACCATCGCGTCAGCTGGGATCAGTTCCAACACTATGTCGACTCCACTGTCGACTACAGTGTCCTTCCAGAGACCCCCGAGGACGTTGACCGATGTCTGCGTTCCATCGAGGAGGCGATATCTCGGGCCAGGGCCAGTATCCAGACAGGTGACCAATACTCTGAACCTTGATAGAATTACCAAAAATCTCAGTAGACGCCGTAACTCCATTCGAAGGCAATACCAGCGTTCTGGCTTGAAGACCCACTGTAATCGCCTAACAAAAACCATCCAAACCAGGATGATGGCCCTAACCAAAATCCTTAAAAATAAGCCATTCCACGACTGACCTCACTGGATAGTCCTGGCGACCCAGTGGTTCATCTGATAACTCTTGATGAGAAGGCTGCCACAATAGGTTAACACTTCATCAGCTCCCATAATCTCGGACAAAACATCGTCAGCCCTCACGAATCTGAGGTTACTGAAAACGCAACCAACCTCCATCAGATTCCTAATATTTTTAGCGAGGAATCCGAGATTACGGCTGAAGAACTGTTTGCCTATATCAAATCATCTAAAAACATGAAGGCCCTAGGTTTCGACAACATCCTGAATCTGGAACTCAAACACTTGAGTTCCAGATTCTACAACCATCTGGCACTGATTTTTAATCAGTGCCTCAGACTTGGCTACTTCCCCTCGTGTTGGAAGTCAGCTAAAGTCATACCCATCCGGAAACCTGTGATGAATCAGTCCTCTCCTTCATGTTATCGACCAATCAGCCTTCTTTCAGGGTTATCAAAACTGTTCGAAAGAGCAGTCTACCACCGGTTCCTAACATGTGCCGAAGAAAACAACTTGTTACTCGAGGAACAGTTTGGTTTTCGGAAAGGTCCTTCGACCGTCCACCAGCTGACTCGAGTAACAAACAATCTCAGACGGAACAAGTCTGTTTCGAAAACATCTGCCATAGCGTTGTTGGACGTCGAAAAAGCGTTCGACAATGTCTGGCATGATGGGCTGGTGTTCAAATTGCAGCAGTACGGTCTTCCAATCTTCCTAGTAAATATAATAAATAACTATCTATCGGACAGGACGTTCCGAGTCTCTCTGCATTGGCATCATGTCGGATGCTTTCAACATCGGTGCCGGAGATCCACAAGGAAGCATCCTTGGTCCCATTTTATTCAACCTGTTCACCTCCGATATGCCAGCTCTCTCTGATGGTGGATCGTTGTCCCTGTTCGCAGATCCATCGTCTACAAGGGTAGGGTCATCTGAGCTCTGACTGCCAAATTTCAGAGAGGCCTGGACGTCCTGTCTGAATATTTCAACAGCTCGAAGATCCGTATCAACGTGGCGAAGACCCAGGTCATCATCTCCTAGACTTGTTCCGTCGGAGAATAATATGATCTGCCTGAACGGCACAGTGGTGGAATGGTTGAAAGAGGTAGTCTACTTTGGCTTAACACTAGACAGCAAGCTGATTTTCAGGGAGCACGTTGATAAAACAAAAACCAAGTGTAACATACCGTTTAAGATCACTGTAACCACTCATCAACAGGTCTACCCTGTCCCTGAAAAATAAGCTTGCTATCTACAAACAAATCATCCTTTCCGCAATCGAGAAACGTTATGTCAATCTTGGAGACTTGCGCCAAATGCCATCACCTTAAACTCCAAAGGATCCAGAACAAGATCCTTAGGATGATCCTAAACAGTCCCCTGCGAACTAGAAATTCTGAAATCCACCTCCTGGTTAGAATTCAGACATTGGAAGAACGTAGAGTTTTTATCCTGGAAAGGTTCAGAGACACCTGTCTGAGATCAACGCATCAGATCATACGTGATCTAGCACGTTAGGTTAAGTTATACTCGTAGTTAGGTAGGATATATCTTTTTTCAATTCAAACATAACACACCCCTAAGGGGTATCCTGTAGATTAGTAGAAAAACATGAATACGTAAATTAGAATAACAAATTAAAAAAAAAATGAAGAGCCTGATAGCGAAGGCAACAAATCAAGAAGACTGGTAACTCTTCCATTTTCTCATACAAACGCTATGAGACAGGTACAATCGCGTCATCTGCCACTCAAAGGTAAATGCTTCGAACGAATTTGATAGCAAAGATTACATCCTTAGAAGAAGGGTTTGTGTACTTGCTCATTTTTATTTGCGTTGCTTCCACCTTCACTCAAGAGGAGCGCCATTGTATCTGTCGCTTGGATTCTGGAAAAATTGCCAGTCTTCTTGATTTGTTGTCTTCGCTGATAGGCTAATCAATTAAAATGTTAAAACAATGTGAAACACAAGTAACAAAAATAAACGTAATTTTACTACTAAGTTCAAGGAACTCCGAAGAAGCTCAGGGAATATTACAAAAGTTCAGTATGCTTCTTAAAACTTCAGGGTTTGTATAATGAGAGAGAGAAGGATTAGTATTTTCCATTTAATTCCACTACTTTATTTGCTTATCCTTGACAGATACGCGTATTAGTACAAGACACTGAAGAAGTCTGCACATTGTAGACGAAATACGCGTATCTGTCAAGGATAAGCAAATAAAGTAGTGGAATTAAATGGAAAATACTAATCCTTCTCTCTCTCTCATTATACAGGTATTTCACTAAGACGCCCACATTCATCAGGATTCAGTGTATGGTTTGGAAACTGCCCGGAAGTTTTGGGTGCTTTGTATTGCTCAGATGTTTAGGAATGTTCATAGTTGAAGTTTGGAGAAGGTCATGGATGCTCTGAGGTCTTGGTTAAATTTAGAGAACTTAAAATAAAAATTTGGAACTTGTAAGAACCTGATGTAATTTCGTAGAAGTTGAGAAAATTTTCTAGATCAAAAGATAAGGGAACTTTGGATATTTTCAAGGTACATTTGAGTGCTTCTCAGGAATTCTATGTGGCAAATGTCACCTTCGCCATCTGCTTAGTACGGTGCTGCTTGTACATTGAAGATCGAAAGCGAATCCCATGTACAATCTAAATATGTGGTTCTCTGTGAATGATCATAATTACGGAGGATAAACTACAAAATGCACCATTTCCTAAAAAAATAGGGTAGGGAATTCCATAGGCCATAATTGGAACACACCATATTAGGAACGTTTAACCATAACTGGTTAACCTACACGACGTGATTTTATTTTTAATGTGTTTAAGGTCAAACGCGATGCATTTGACATATTGCTGAGTTATATTTTATTATTCAATGTATATGGTATATATCTTCGCTTTAATTTTAAATTTTATGTATCTTCTGAATATCTTATTAGTTGCGTGTTAATTCGTTTGTGTTTGTTTCTTTCTAAATGTTCTGTGTTTTAACTTCTTGCTAATTAATTTTACTGTTTGTACTATCTTTTAGTTTATTCATAGCTTTTCTTCATCTCATACATGTTCCTACCTTTTGTTTTAATGGTTTGACCTTTCGTTCTCATGTTTTGTAATCTTCAACCTGAACTTACTCTCTGCCACCTTCATTTCAAATGGGCCTTCCTAATTTTCCCCACCATATCTTCAAGCAAATTGCGTTCCCTGCTACATCACTAGACTCCCAAGCCGATTTGCATCAACTTTATCCACCGTCCACCCAACTAAGCCACCTCGCAGCCTCACGTGTGTATTAGTAGGTATCCCGCGCACCACGAGTGGTTCATTCGAAGAAACATTCATCGGCTCGCACACCGCCGCGGTTGTTGCAATGTTTACATTCTCCTTCGGCTCCTCGGCTGGTGTTTGGAACACGTTTATCATCGTCATCGTCATCGTCAGCGTGGCAGCAGCGATTTGAATGAGTCAGACAGCGAACCACACATTTGAAAAAAAAAGCTGGTAGATCGCCTTCTTGGTGGAGCGGTGCACGCGGTCGCTCACGTATGGTGAATGAGTGAGTAGGTACCCACCAATCTGATTCCTCTGAGATTGCTTCGAGTGCGCGGTGTGGGGAGTCACCACAGTGCGATACGGTGAAGGTGTACCAGGCGGGCTCCGATGCTAGTCGCCGATGACGGTTCGATGATGATGGTGGTCGTTGGTTGCCTCTTATCGCGGCCGGTCGTTCGTTCGTTAGTTTGTCGGTCCGTCCGCCTAGGTTCAGTATGTTCCAATGTTTACTCGCACGTACAGGTCTTCTCTCATTCGTGGATAGTTCCTAGCGCGTAAAGACGTGGTTTATGAATATTCCTAACCGGCGTGGTTCAAATTCCTGAGAGTATTTTTGCCGTGCAAAAAGTGCTACTGATGGTGAATTTTCTGGTGTTTGAGCCAAGACAAATTGCTTAGCTGACACCGGACCCCTGCAGGGACGACGAGGACAAGGTCGTGCAATTCACGGAACCTGGTGAGACACTGGCAAGTACCGCACGTCTTCACTCCCAGCGGGTTGGCGTCTGTTGGCGCGTGGAATTTTGTGGTTGTGAAATTGGAGTTTACGAGCGGTTGTGCATGAAATTTCTCAGAAAACCGCGGGTAGAAAATTGGAGCAAAAAGTGCCGGTGTTTTTCATGATGGTGCAACATTACGTATAACGTCACACAACCGAGGGTGATAAGAGAAAGAGTCGTCGAATGCGTTGTGCATGCGAATGGTGTGAATGTGAATATTGAAGATCTTCGTCTCTGCGGGCTTTGGCCTACTATGATGCTCGGTTGGTGAAGTGGTGAAGAGTGAAAAGAGAATCAATGGAAAAAAATCGTTGTGCAAATTGCTTAATGAGCCATCAGTGATTGTGGTCGTCGTCAGTCGACATATATATTTTTTTTTTGTGTCATCCAGACCCAGTGAGCGAGCGGCAAGTCTGTGAATGTTCCGTGACATAATAATCAATCAAATTGAAAGCGCGGTTGGAAAAAGGAAAACGTCGGAAGTTCTGCTGGTGAAGACCGGGGTCACCGCAGTTTGGTTGGTAGTCAGGCAGACAGTAGAGTTATTGCATATCATTAGCACAGATTTCGTCCATTGTTGTTGTCATCAATCAACGGGACTTTGGAGCGAGCGGCGGGAATCAACTGAGGAGTCAGACGCTGGAACAAAGGTAGGTTTATTTTCGATAATTAAGTGTGGGCGTTGAATAATTGCTGATTGCCGATCAAGTTGAAGCGGTGAATCAATCATTAGTAACTGATTAAATGGCAAGGGGGGTAAATTTTCTTAAATGCTGGAATTGTAAACTCTTGCCAGACTTAATTTTAGGTGATCGAAAAAGTTGTGTAAAATATTAAAATCACTCTTCCTGGATGAAATCACTGATTTTGGACTCGAATTCAAATCATTTGAATTTTAATACATCAGATTTTATTATATTTCGCAGTAATTATTTAAAAATGTGTTGATTCAACATAATTTATAACCAATGCAATTTTACATTGTCTCTTAGACTGTAAATTAGACAAAATAACCACTGAGAAGTATTTATTATAAGTTTTCCAGTTCGAAAACGTAAAATTCTAGGAATCAAAATATTTTGCGGATCTTAGTCTTACATCTCATTTTTTTTTATATTTGACTTTGAAGATTATCTTCAAATCAATAAATGGAAATGGAAATAATCCGTATATTATGTGAAGGCCAACGCTCTGAATGCTGTTTTTTTCTTCTAACATTCCTTTGGAATGTTAGAAAATACTTGCAGTTATGGGGGGGTTTAATTTTTTAAATTGATTAAATCTCCGACCAGGAAGTCCCCCGGTGTCGAGGACTGGTGCGGAGCAATGTGTTGGAATTGACATTGACACATTGATGATCACAAGTGGCTACAGGAGGGGGGGGGGAAAGGAGGCTCCCATTATTGATGACACTGAATACAATTTTTACTTCATAGATGACAATCACCTTTTGTCTATTATATTAACGCTTTAGACAAGATCAGCATTTTTTTATTTATCATGTCTCAATTGAAACCGGGAACGTAAATTATGTTTTTAATATCACTTGAATGATCCTTGGAATATTCTTAACATCTTGTTTTCAAATAATGTGAGAGTAATCCTTGGGTAACTTCTGGGAAAATAACGCATTGTCCGGAGTTCAAAAACGACTTGGGCGTTAACGGGTTTAGCTGACCACTTTGTGTCAAGCAGACCTTGATGTCCAAAATGTATCTGCTCTAATATTTTATATTTTCTGTAAATGGGCTATTTAGGTTGAATTAAAAACGAAGCAAGATTGGACTTTGAAACTGTTCTAGATATTCTGAACTTGAATTAATGGAGATCTGGGACATTTTTTTTAAAATTTGAATGGATTGAAAATAGGGTCTTATTTATGATATGCTTGAAAAATCTTAAATTTACAGCACAAATTTCTTAAAATCGCTGGTAGAAGGTCGTCCCAAAACTACTCTACAGTATGATTAATTAAATGTTATCATTATGACTTTGGGACTACAGTGAACATTTCTAAAGGTTTTCCGGGCAATCATAGAAATAATTCTATGCATAGAAATTTTACTTGAAAACAAATCAAAAATCTCCTCGGATTTCCTGAAATATTCTCAAATTTTTTAATGAGGCCGAAGTGGAAATCCATATTTGTTCTGAGGACTTCAAATGTGAATGTAAGGAGAACCTCAAGCGAAATCCAAGGATTACTTCTAAGGTTATTCTGAAGACCACCTAATTTCTGGCGAATGAACAGAATAATTCCAAGTAAGTTCTGAAATGCTTTCCAAGTTAGTTTCAATGAGAATCTTGTAGAAATTTGAATTGAATACTCTAATCATGTTTGTAATACTCCATGCCAGGGTTGGTAGCGAGTCGCTTTCTAGTGACTTTGTCACTTTTTTCAATCCAATCACTAAAAAGTCGCCTTTTTTAAGGCCAAATCACTAAAGCCACTTTTTCTTGTAATCAGTCACTATTTTAAACATTTTAACGTGAATTTATTTTTTTCTAATTGTTGAACAATTCGAAGTTGACGACCTTGTTTAGAGTTTTTTGACGTTTAATCGTCTTTCTGTATCTACAGAGTGTCCACTCATTTGGTTAAATAAAGTTCCCTGAGTTTTCCATATCTTTGACGGATAATTTGTAGGTTTCTAAAAAGAAAGCTATTTATGAAATGCGTTTAAAATATGCCTAAAAACCCTCCAAATCTCGATTAGAGCCATATTTACGGAGATAAATCGATTTAAAGATTTTTATACCCACCAGCCTGAAAAAAAAACAACAGCAACAGCAACTAACGCAAACGTTTTTAAGACATGACAATCAGTTTTAAAGAAACATATTCACTATCACATCCATTAAATATTGAAGTCGAACACTTACTTCATTTTAGTAAGCTTTGAAAACATCTAGACAGATCAGTAAATTAAAGAGTAGTTCAAAAAATTTCAAGAAAATTGCAGAACCTTAAAAAAGTTTCAAGAAACTCAGGGAATTTCCGGAAACTTTGGTTTGCCCAGAGAAAATTTCTGGAACGCAATAAAAATTATATGAACATCCAGAAAATGTGAGAGTAAATGGAAATTTCAAGATATAATAAATTTCAAATATTTAGCTAAGTTGATTAGAGAACATCAACGCAGTTTCATTGATAAAAAAGAATGCAAATTTTTTTTAGCAAGCACCGATATTTTCAAAAAATTCCGTTCTCTACGCAATTGAGATATTTTTAGATTGTTTCATTATATTCAGCATAAAGAAGTTCCTGAAATTTCAGAATAACTTCGAAAACTTCAAAGAAGTACATAGATCTTCAGAAACATTTTGAGAAGTTCACAAAAGTCTATGGAATTTAAGGGAAGATCCGGGAACTTAAGGAACTTTTATTGACATTTCGGGAGCATTTCTTATAAGTTTAGAAAAGCTTAAAAAACAAGGGGAATTTCAGTGGAGTTAAGTTCAATTAGTTTTACTAAATTAGCGAGAGATTTCAAGAAGCTCCCAGATTTTCAGAGAACTTTAGAGACGTTAAGCAAATTGTTGAGGTTTTCACATTTTTAAGACAGTTCAATTACATTCAAGAGAAGTGCAAACACTTTAGGATACATTCGAGAACTTCAAGAAAGATATTAATTTCACTAATAAAGCTAAAAAAAACAAAAAACAAAAAAAAACTTCACGAAAGAACAGATATTCTCAAAGCAGAGATATTCCAGAGAATTCAGTTAATTGTTAAAACTTTAGAGAAGATTCATAATCGTTAGGAAAATTGTGGAAACTTTAGGAAGTCCGAACAAGTTTAGAGCAGTTAAACAAATTATGAGAAGTATTGCGAGCATCAGGCTAGTTTCTCAAACTACAAAATAACTTCAAGGCAGTTTCATTAATTTCAGGTATGTTTTGGGAACTTTCAAGTAGTTCTGAAGACCTCAGAATACTCCATTCCATATCCGACGGAGCTTTCTCGTGTAAAATTCGCTTAGAGTTCTCCTCAGCACTCACTCGTATTCTCCCGAAACTCTAATGGAATTATTTCGCTTCTCTGAATTCTCTTAAAAATATCACAAGAATATAGTTAAAATATTTATTGCAATTCCATTGAAATATTCCTCAAATTTTCTTTTAGTTTTCCTAATAATTTCCATGAAATTCTCCTTAGTAAGACATTCTATGGAAAGATTCTCGGAATTTCCATTGAATGCATCTCAAATATCCGGTTGAATCCACTCTTTCCATTGGAATTCTACTCACATTTCAAGTCTCCTAAGAATTCATTTTCATTTCTCCTCACAAATTCCTTAGATTTATCCCCTTAATTTGTTTGGTTATCGATCCTGGAATTATTTTCCGAATTTCTTTGAGATTCTGGAGTTATTCTCAGATTTAATTGTAATCCTCAAAATCCACAAATAAATTACGATGACTTTTATATGCTCCGATTTCGTTGTCTTTCACAAACTTCATGAAATTATCATCAGAATGTCCTTGGAATTTTCCTCTGAAGTACACAGAAGGAGAAATTTATATGAGTTTTCATTAAAAATTACTTTGAATTCAATTCCAGGTTTTCTTGAAATTCTATTAAAAACTATCTCAGGCTGCACATGAAATCCATATTTCCTCAGAACTACCATGAAATCAGATTGCACTTGATGTTGTTCTCATAGATTGTTTTTTCTTAGAACTCCTGTGGAATGAGGTCCTTAGAAATTATAATAATATTATAATATTCTATGAGCCTTAAAACTTTGCAAGGAATTTGACTGCAGATTCTTGAAAATTTCTTGAAGTATTATAACTTTTCATCTCAGAAGTTATAAATTTTGTGGGAAATATGCATATTCTAGATTGAAAAAAAAAAACATTCGAAGCCCCTGAATTATTAAAATGTATTTGATACTGAACATCAATCAATTATTTATCCATAAAGTTCAATGTTTGAATGAAAGTAATAAGGAATATTATTTGTTTTTATTTTAAAATGCATTTTTGGATATCCTTACCTTAGTAAGAAAATTATTTAATTTCTTTAGTAATGATAAGATTCCCTGAGACTTAAAGGTATTTTCAGGAAAAATAAAATTTCCTGAGAATTCCCGGTTTTTCAGGGTTTTTTTCAGGTAGTAGATACTTGGAGGTTTAGTCATAGATATTCTATTGAATCTTTCCCTTTATAGGTTCCGTACTCACACACTAAAAAAATCTAAATTTTACTGGTGATGTAAACATCCATGCATGTAAACTTCCTTTTCACGTAAACTAGCAGCTTGCAAGAAATGTTGCAAACAAAGGTGGAAAGTTGCATACAATATATGGAATATTGCATGACATGTCTCATAAATTTACACGATTTATAATGTAAATTTGTATGATTTATGACGCTCCATTTATGTGCATCATAGTAACGGAAATTTACACTACTTTGTTTAGCTGTGTATTTAAGTGATTATGAGATTCGAGTTTAATAAGTCTAAAATATCAAACATTTATTTGGTATGCCATTAGAACGACTATTTCTTCTATTAGGCCGTTCGCAGTGCTGTTGTATTTTATAAGGACTGTTTCAATTTGAAACTAGAACAGAAACGCACCTCTCGCAATGCTGAGTTGCAGTTTCATTATTCGAGCACTATTTTGCACCAGATTTGCA